GCAAAAAAAGTCTCCACTCACCGCATTGCGCAAACCCTCCCTCCACATCTGTTTTTGCTGGCTGGTCTGCCTTGGGGCTCGTAGGGACTTCCTTTCTTGGGGCTCGTAGGGACTTCATGCTCTCTGCAGGCGAACGGTGGGAACTCAGAACGAACGGTAGAACAAAGGCAGTGCTGTGATCCATTCATGTGTCAGCTGGATGTCCAACCCATCTTGCCATTCACTGTGGGTATATGTTGGAGAAAGTGAAGAGACATAACACACCTCATACACTAATAATCATATACATTGTCATATATTACATTTACTAGGGCAAAAGCAGGACACCAATCCAACATGTCACTCCTACCTTTCCTCCTACGCTGAAACCAACGCTTTCCGGATCGATCCCGCTCCAAGCATCCCCACTGGCGCCCGTGCAGAGCCACCAGCAGCTCGGCGAAGAACTGGGCACCCGCGTAACCTGCGGCGAGAGCGGAGAGAGGCGGAGCGAGAGGCGGAGCGAGGTCTTAGCGGCGTCCGGAGAGAGTTGACCCTTCTCGTTGAAATAGAAGATCTGTCTTGAAACCATTTGAAACCTGGAAGCCTCTAGGGTGTTTCCAATCCGGAGCGAAGCCTGATGTCTACCAAGCGGATCGCCCGTTCGTTCCCCACACCGATCAGGCACGGTTCCTGGACCTCTTGGCAAGGAATCGTAGGCCTTTTCTGCACGTAGCATGCTGTTCTCATCTTTTTCCCACGTGTATATTCTTCACTGTGTGCTGGAGAATTGATTCTCCTCAGTGAGGTGCTTGCAGTTGAAGGCCACTTACAGGATCTTTTGCTGGGCCCATCTATGGCCGCATGGCTTCGTAGCTTTTGCTTGGACCAGTCGGTTGACCTGCCCTGAGAGGTTGAGAGACCTGAACTGAGACCCATATCGGAGCTATATATGGGATGGGATATATAATAAGATACAAAAGGCACTTCAACCTCTATGGGTGGTCTCCATGGCTCGTACGGGCTCGCAGGCGTCGACGCGGGCACCGTCGTCGAGGCCAGTCAACGTCGGTCGCTGACTGAGTCTCCCAGGCGTAAAGCTGGAGTCTGGGCATCTCCCATGGCCTGGTGAAGTCACACGTCTTCACATGGCGGGAATGGAACAGAAGCGTATTCAAAAGAGACAGACTACGGAGGTCGACCTACCCGGGAATTGCCCCACCACAATGTCTTCACTGAGTCTTCACCAGTGGGAACAGTGAATAACGCTGATTCGGTGACATGTTCAGATTGGTTTTCCGCCAACCTCCAAGAGGGCATCACGCAAGCTGGACAGACTGGCAGTGGGTGGACGGTGCGCCATCCATGCCACGAACCTCGGAAAATGGCATGGGTGAGAGATCAGCAGTTTCCGTGTGTGTATGGATGTGACTCAAACGAAAACGGCACTCAAGAAATCCTGGACAGAATGGTTGAGTGGGGGTGAGATCGCCGTTTCAGGATCATGCACCGCTAGAACATCCCTTCCCCAGTCAACATGGAACACCTGCACAAAAAACTGCGGTTTCTCTGCTCAAGCCCATGGCTGTGGATCAAATCTGGGGTGCCGAAAGGAAGAACTCTGCATCTGAACCAATGGGTCTGTGATGGTCTGTGGTCGCAGTCGAACCTTATCGCTCTCCATGCCTGAAAATCCTGAAAGTGCACTCAGCTCGCCCTCCATGAAACGAGCCGCTGTTTCAAGAGGCTCTTGAAGAGCTCTGCCAGCGTCGCGTCCTGCGCTGCTGCACTGCGTGGCTACACTCGTTATGGTGTCCATCTGATTGATGTTGACATTGAACGATAAATGCCGGTTCACCAAATTGGACTGGTAGAAAATACCTGGACCACCCATGACCACCCAGCGTACAGCATAATATAGAATGATCTGCTCAATATGTGGGTTGAGCACTTTTGGAGGTGGTATTCACCAGGTATAGGTATACAGTATAAGTTCCAATTTAGAAGGCTGAGATAGGCTGAGGGTGAACACAGAATGTAGAAATCATGTACAGTAGGTGGTACAGTCCAATCAACGGAACACGAGTCTGACGCTTTCACATCTCCACCTCTTTTGAGATGATTCCACAGCCCATCCGACGGTGTTCATATATCCACTAGTGGACCTCCAAGTGGTTCAGGTTGGGGAACCAAGTCTGGGAAGTCTACATCAAGAGACAGCACAAGGATCCACAAGGGGGCAGGACCTTGTAATGTAGATCTATCTTGCCGGTTGATTGATCAACCCCGCCCTTGTGAAGAAGCGTTAAATCCAAATAAAGGAAGGCTTATTCATCAACAGTCTACATTCAGCTAAAACTGCCAGTCTTCCAAACATGGTGGCGCAGTTCTGCCACTTCTCCCATGGACGAGACTGTGCACACAAGCATCTCAGATCCTTGTTGCCACGATTTAAGAAACAGAAAAAAACCAGAGTTTCTGAGTCTACGCCCCAATCTCCGAAACAAGTTCAACACTTCTCAAATCAGGAGCAAGGGCCGAATTATGGACTGTATACCTGGAACTTCCTCAGTGTGTTGTCTTCAATCTGCGGTGTGAAAACACTCTTGTTGAGTCATTGCCTTACCAGTTCGAGTCTGCGGATGTTTCTCTAGTTTTCTGATATTCCACGGGCGTTTATACACAAGATACGCCATCGAAAATGATCGGATGGGTACTCTATGTATAAGATGTCTATATATAATAATGGTCTATAATACAATACCTAAATTAAAAAGAAACAAACTGAAACATCCTAAAGCCTGAGTGACCTCTAGACTTGGATCACCAACCACCCAAAATATGATATGTTCATATCTTTTCATATCTAGTCCTATCAAAACAAGGGTCATGTCTGGGTTCTAGGCCAATCAACATGATCATACATGAGCCATTGACAATTGAATGCAACTACTAATGCAAATGCAAACTCAAATGCTCAAATGTCCTGGGATGGCATCCTGGTCATGCCATCCCAAGACATTCAATTCATGTTATTCTCCGGGTTTTCCCGCCTCATCTGCGGCTGCGCGCAGCGCCATTGGCAGCAAAGGTGCTCGCAGCACCTACGAGGTGTGGGGAGCTGGCTGCGGGGCCGACGAATTCAGGCATGAACCTTGATGTGGATTGGTTTCAGGATGTCAATGTTTTGATTAACAGGTTGTTATACGTGTGCATTCTTGCTATGTTTTCCAACAGGAACAGCTTTGTGACGCGATGTTCCCCATCTTCTCCCAGCTTGCAAAACCATCGCTGTCCAATCGCACCACGAAAAAGTGATGCACCGAAGTCCACCCCGTCCTCCAAGTCCAGAGCGGATGGGACTTCGGTTCGGTCGCACCTCTGCGAAAGCGGTGGAGGCCTGTGGTGTCAGCAGAGGTGGTCCGTCTCCCAAATCGGAACAAGGGTCAGTAAGGACACAGACATAAAATGGGGGTAGTAGTATAGTATTGTGTATACACCCCACCAGACCTTACCTCTGACAAAACCTCCAACCTTGGCCAATCCCACCATGTCTGAGAATGGGGAACCCTGGAAGGGGGTACTACAAGTCTTTGGATGTCCCCTCCCACAGACCCTTCGTCCATGGGATCGCGGATCGTTTAGTTGACCGAAGCCAGAGCGGTCGGTCGGCGAGGTGAAGAAAGAAACTCCATGGCACATGGACCCAGACCTCCTTATTTATCTTATATATAATTGAATATGCTCCAAGTGCAAGATGGACAAAAATATTAAACAAGTGCACTCCCTGAAATTATTATGGTTAAATGGATGGCACCTGGACTTGGCATTCGGAAAACTCATGGTCTTCCGAATCATCACTCATGGTCTTCCCATCCACGTGATTCGCCCATGATGATTCCAGGGCGTGTCGTGCTGGCCGTTGTCTCTGCAACGAGTCTCCTGCCTCCGACCCGACTTCGGCACGACGGCTGAAAGGCACCGCTTTCCAAATCAGTTTTCATTGAGAAAGTGACACTCCAAACGTGTCGCGCTTTTGACCCGGTCCGAAAACGACACCCGTGAACGAGCGACGTTCCTTACACCCCGTTCCCAGGTCCGCGATGCCAACTTTTGCTTTCGCTTTGGAACCCCATGCGCACCGGGTCTCCTCCGTCCCCGGCGTCAGGTGAAACGCAGTATGATCGCGACCGTCACATGGAGCGCGCGCGAGTTCGACGTGCGCGGAGCGGTCGGTTCAAGATCCTCCGGCCACCGTGAGAGGAATGCCCCCCTGTCAAGCACAGGCTGCTTGTATCATGTAGGATGTTCCAGTCGCCAATGGACACAAATGTGTCTTCCCGAGGTCTTTGGTGGGTTGAGAAACCGCCTTTCTTTTCTGGTCACCGATATCTGAACACATGTGTTCATTCATGTGGATCCGAAATGCTCCAAACATCCACGGACGCCCCCCCTGAATACCCGGCCGGGCTACCCGTGGAGTCAGTTCGAACAAAGTATATAGAAACAGCTCCAGTCTGGATGAAGTCGGTGATAGCTTCTCGAAGGCGTGTAAACATCACGCACTCCTGCCACAGAACTTCTCTGATCCTGTGGGGAAAAATGCTGCCATGCTGCTTGCCACCAGCTGATTCACAAGTCGTGATGACTCGGTTCACGGGTCCTCTCGCCGGCAGCCTACTGCCTCTTCCTTCTCTAGTTGTGCCTTCCGGTGTTCGCTTCCAATGCACTCATGCGCACTTGAAACCGGCCGAGTTTATGGAAGACGGATCGCATGACCATGTTTTAAGGATGGTTCCAAGGTGTTCAGTACAAAACATAGTCTTTGGCAGAGCTAACCCGGCTGAACGATCATTGAAATTATATGCTAAAATCCTTTGATGTTCCATGCGTACTTACTTTTGAACTGAAGTCACCTCAAGATGTTGAACAAAGTCTTTTCGTTGCGTAGTCTTCCAGAGGTGGATCCACCCGCAGGATGAAGATGAATCTAAACTTGGAGTTAAAGCTAGATCACCTAGCCCTGGAATTCAAGAACGCTGGAAGGTCCAACGACTTCTTCGTAGTCCTTGGCTTTGCAAGACCCTCTCTCTGACTCAGGTGCGTTTCATCGAGCGGTCACCCTGTCGCGCCAAGGCGCCCTCAGCGGACGTTTCAAACCTCGGAGGTGCGTGGGGGGGGCAACCGGCATGGTTCCGGGACCCTGTAGTAGAACCATATACAGAGTACCCAACAACATCCCCAAAACTGCATGCTTCCAACAACAACAACAACAACAACAACAACGACAAGGATAAGGACAAGGTACAAACAAAAACTACAACCCCGTTACAACATCTCTTCTTCCTTTGTCTCTAGTGGAAACAAGAACTCCAGCGCCCCAAAAAAAGAACAGCCAACAAGTATGTTTGCCTTTAGTGGTATAGTGTCTGTTCGTACTAGTGCTAGTACTAGTGGTATTAGTACTAGTACTAGAACTAGTGGCAGTAGTACTACTACGACGACGGCTACTACTACTACTACTACTACTACTACTACTACTACTACTACTACT